TTACATTTTGGTGTTGATTCGGCGTGAGTTTACTCTGACAAATAACATCACTGTGACCGAATCTGACGACGACGATTCGTGAACTTCGTAAGAATAGTAGCCTTGTCTTCAGGTTCGAGAACCCAAGAGGCCGAAACGTGTTCCTTCCTCGGTCGCAATCTCAAGACGCAGAAGTCAGCCACGCACCCAACGTAACATCAACAAATTTACTCCTCGGCCGAGCTCGGCCGACGAGTTGGCACGCCCCGCATTCACCGAAAGACGTAGTTAGCTTATAGATTACTCGACCTGCGTGCCATGTAGGCTTGGTAGTTTTTAGGGTCAACACTTATCCAGCCTGATCACAATCTCAAAACCTTCTAAATCTTCAAAGAGTAAGTGTCCAAGAGGAAAGGGGTCAGAAAATGGTTGAACGATTCAAAGTGTCAATGTAGTGTCTTGAAACACCAATTTTTTTTTGTTGAATTGCATAAAACCATAACCAAAGTAGTGCTCAGTCGTTAAATAACTGGTTAGTTTGGGTTTACCCGTTACCACCTGTTAATTGAGTGTATTTCTATGATTTCAATAAAGACAAAACCTAATGTGTCACTCCTCACTGAGTTCCCCTTCGACTGAGACAAAGTCACAAGGTCATCCCTCGACTGCCTCGTCTACACCCATTTTTCTTGTTTACGGGACTTTGATTTCATGGTAAGTCCTCTCTCTCCGTAGTATTGTTTGGGATTATCTCTTTATGTATCTCTCTTCCCTCAATCTTTATGGTCATATGTTGTTTTAAAAAATTGGGAAGTTTGAATTTCTTTCTGGGGTTATATGGTTTTGCTTCCGATTGAATATGCTTTTGTTAATCATCCTCGAAAACAAGACATGGGTTGTTCGTATGTTTTTTCTCCTCCCTTTGGTAGGTCGGTGCTTTATTTTTCATATTCTTAAGTTCAATTTTTAAATTCTGTAGTAATCGATTTTGTTTCTCTTTTTTGAAGTGTTAACTTGAAGTTAATTTCAAAGATTAAGACAGCGTATAGCTTGAAGATGATGATGCTTCTACTTATTTAGATTATTGGGTTTTGTCCATTTTTGCATAGCTTGCGGTGGTATAAAAATTAATGTGATGGTAAAATCGTTTATTGGAATATGATTTTTGCTGGTTATGCGCAAAATTCATTTTCAACAGAATCATTGATTATACAAACTTGTAATCTTGTACAAAGTTTCTTACCTTTATTTAAAGGGAGTTTTAACGAAAAGCCCACGGTACTGTTCACTTTAACGAAAAACCACATTTTTACACTAAAAAGTCAAACCTGGTACCATTCACTTTACCCTTTATTTTGTCTTTATCATTAATACTCAAAGTTTTCAAACATTTTCATTAGTTTTCCTTTATTTAAACTCTCTCTTTTAGTGATACTTATATATTTTTAGAGGCGGCTCTGAATAAAGAAACCCTAGCCGCTCTCTCCCTTTTCTCTTTCGCATAGAGTAAGTCACAAACTAGTTCTTGTTGGAAAATTAGTTATTATTTTATTATTGTTTATGGTTTTCTTGTGGGCTAAGGATATTAGAGTTTTTTGCTCGTCAAGGATTAAGGTTTTGCTTTAGTTTTCACTATATATAGTAGTGATTGTATTAGTTTATATTAGTTTATTTCAATTAAGTTAGTCACAATGTAATCTTTAGGATTTTGTAGTCGTTTCGGCATTCTTGTCTATTAATAATATTCATATTATTTTATAGTCTTGTTTGTTTCGCACTCTGCTATTCAACTTGGTATCAGAGCAGATTCGATCATTCAGGGTTGATATGTTCTTGGTTGTATCAATTTGTTTTTCAGTCGTCGGATATTAGTTCGGTTGTAGTTTGTTTTGTCTTTGTACCTAGATTAGGGTTTTGTCGTTGAAAAAAAAAACACAAAAATTGAACTTGTTGTTGCTTGTTGGAATTGGTTGTTCGCTTGAATTGCTCGCTTGAATCACTTGCCTTGTCTTGTCCGCCTAACGGAGTTTACCTTGTCGTGTCTGTGCCTAACGGAGCTTACATTTACATCTGCATCTGCTTGTTGGCAACTCATGTCGTGTACCTCCATGAGTTTGATGAGGGTGTTGGAAAATTAGTTATTATTTTATTATTGTTTATGGTTTTCTTGTGGGCTAAGGATATTAAAGTTTCTTGCCCGTCAAAGGATTAGGGTTTTGCTTTAGTTTTCATTATATATAGTAGTGATTGTATTAGTTTATTTCAATTAAGTTAGTCACACAATGTAGCCTTTAGGGTTTTGTAGTTGTTCCATCATTCTTATCTATTAATAATATTCTTATTATTTTATAATCTTGTTTGTTCCACACTCTGATATTCAACTTGGTATCAGAACAAATTCGATCCTTCAGGGTTGATATGTTCTTGGTGGTATCAATTTGTTTTTCATTCACCGGATATCAGTTCAGTTGTAGTTTGTTTTGTCTTTGTACCTAGATTCGGGTTTTGTCATTGAAAAAAAAAACACAAACATTGAACTCGTTGTTGCTTGTTGGAATTGATTGTTCGCTTGAATTGCTCGCTTGATTGATCGCTTGAATCGCTCCCTTGAATCGCTTGCCTTATCTTGTCCGCCTAACGGAGCTTGCTTTATCGTATCTGCCTAACGGAGCTTGCATATGCATCTGCCTGTTGGCAAACTCATGTCGTGCATCGCCATGAGTTTGATGGGGGTGTTGGAAAATTAGTTATTTCTATTAAGGATATTTGAGTTTCATGCCCGTCAAGGATTTAGGGTTTTGCTTTAGTTTTAACTATATATAGTAGTGATTGTATTAGTTTACTTCAATTAAATTAGTCACAATGTAGCCTTTAGGGTTTTGTAATCATTCCGGCATTCTTGTCTATTAATAATATTCTTATTATTTTATAGTCTTATTTATTCTGCACTCTGATATTTAACTGTTCTCAACACTGCCAACTCCTTCCTTGGGTTGGGGTCGGCCGACAACCCCTTTCCCATTTCCCTTATTCTTCTTTTCTTTTCTTTTATTTGTGCGTGTGTACTTTGTAGTTTTCCTGGCATTCTTTCCCGTTTTCTAGAGTTCTTTGTTGTATTTCGGTGTTTATTACTGTCTTTTATGTCTTGACAAGCCCAACCCCCAGCCCACAACCCTTGCCCTGCAATCGAAAACATTCATCATCTTCCATCTTGTTCATTTCCTCCTTCTTCCCACTTGCCATCCCTCTCACAACCTCTTCCGCATATCTCAGCCTTTACTTCACGTCTTTGTACCTGACTGGCATGCCGGAAATCCAGGGCCAAGCGTGCTGCAGCTTTGCCCAAAGCGCGAATGTTTTACATGCCGCCTTAGGGGTGGTTTGAGAGTGAGGTGCTTAAAAAAAAAGCACCCATGAAAAAAAGCTGTGAGGGTTTTAGGTGTTTGGTAAACTGAAAAAAAAAGGCTTATTTTGGAAGCTGCTGTAATAATAAGCTGAAATCAAAGGAAAAAGCTGAAGCTGCTATTTGCAGCTTTAGAAAACTAACTTTTTTTTCAAAGCACACGGAGCTACATTGCTCATTTAATGAAAAGACCCACTATCAGACTGCTTTTTTTTTCCAAAAGCACTTTTACAAAAAAGTTTACCAAATACTCTGTTGATTTATTTCACAGTCGCTTATTCTCACAGTACAACTGCTTATTCTTACAACAACTTTTTTTCAAAGCACAACAATACCAAACTAGCCCTTAGCCCCATCCCCATCCCTTTTGTTTGGGTGTTGGTTCTACTTGCAGGGGCTTGTTATGGTGGTTTAGATATGTTGGCTCTTTTCCAGTATATGGTAGTTTTTGTGGCGAATTTGGGTTGGGGGTTTTTCCTTGTTGTTGGTTGTTTTGTGGTGCGACTACTTCGTCGAATTCAACGCGAAGTTTGTTTTCTTTATACGATTACCTTTGTGGTCGCTGGCGAGGCAATGGCATCGGCGGCGGTCGGCCTTTGCTGGTTGCGGCTCTTGGTTTTTATTATGTCTATTTTTTTGTTGAATGTGCTTTGGCTATCCCCACTTTATTGGGCTAGTTTGTTTTATTGTATAGCCTTTCTCATTTAATGAATTTACTTGTCTGTTGTCCAAAAAGATATTTTCGCGTCACACTTTCGATCAATTTACCATAAAAAATCCTGGCGCAAGCTTGGTAAGATTTCTTCCTAGTTGATAAGCTTAATTCACCATTCGTACTTCGTACTCCATATGGCAGCAATACTTCCAAATTCTTAACATAAATAAACAACACTTACGAAAATGAGAGGAAGAAAATCTGCAAATACAGCCTTGTCTAAAAAAAAAACATGAAATGCTGGCATTTCAGAAGCTTATCCAGGGAAGTTTATGGATTCAATATAGGGTTAGGATCAGCCACCGATTTTCACCTTATAAATTATTTTTAATGATGCAAACAGTTTAAAATGAGAATAAAACTGATCACACAATATACGATGAACGGACATGATTTGAGGATTCCTGGGATCCTCACAAATAGGATCCGGAACGGATCCTCATTCTATATTTTAGTATATAGCAGCCTCTTCAATGCACAGATATCCACAAGAGTCGACAAGGCTTTGTGTTATGTAAATGATCATTTCCGGATTCCTTCCTCCAAATTCACATAATCAATTCGGGATGTGATATCCACACACCTCTTTTTACTTCTCTCACACCTTTTTGGTTTTCGACTGTCAGATCGGATGAATTGAAGAAGATCAATAGATATAAATTAACAAAGGGTGTGTGAGAAGTAAAAAGAGGTGTGTGGATAGCACACCCCATCAATTAATCCGGACATTTGAAATTTAATCCAACGGCTAAAGTTAGTAGTCATTTGATCAAATTTCAAAGATCTGGATTAGTTGATTTTGTGGATTTAGAAAAAGGGATCCGGAAAAGATCAATTTCATACTCAAAAGCCAGCCGTCTCCTACAGACAAGGTACACGTAATTCCCTTCCCATGCAGTTAACGCTACGTGTCAATATTGGTCAATCCTCTATACAAATACACAGATTTCTCTCCTCCAATTCAGAAAATAGATAACACCGCTAAACCTAAACCCCAAACACCGGCCGGTAGCAATAAAGCAAAAAACAAAACAAAAAAGAAAAAAGAAAAGAAGGAAATATTAAGAGAAAATGTCACAGATGGAGAGGAAGCTGGAAAAACCCATTGAGATAAAGAATGATCAGGAAAGCAAAACCGAGCATGAGGAACAACAGAAACACAGCAAGGAAAAAGATGAGCAGAAGGAGGAAGACGATTCACTTCCTCTAATGGCGTTGAACCACGTATCGAGGTTGTGCAGAAATGTGGAGGAGTCGGTGGATTTCTATACCAAAGTGTTAGGGTTTGTTAAGATTGAGAGGCCACCAGCTTTTGATTTTGATGGGGCTTGGTTGTTTAATTATGGAGTTGGGGTTCACTTGGTGCAGTCTGAGGATGAGGAGAGGCTTCCACCTAATCAGGATCACTTGGATCCCATGGACAACCATATCTCTTTCCAGGTTCCAAAATAATTTAATTCAAGTTATTCAGTTTTTCTTATTGGAAATTAATTAATTTCTACATGTACAGGTCGATTTTTTAATTTTTTAAACACAATCTCTTGGATGAGGGAAATAAATTTGAAATTTTAGTAAAAGTCAGAATTTATAAATTGATATGCATCAATTCTATTGTTTGGATTTACAAACATAGAAATTTAGAATTTCCGTGTAGAAAAAAAAACTTGGAATTTGGAACCTCCAATTCCCAAGTTCAAATTTCATGTAAATATGGGTCATTTTCCAATTTCTATGATTGAGAGTTTAAAAATAACAAATTTCGTATTTAATTCCATTGTTCTTTTAGGTTAACCAAACAAGAAAATTTACAAATTCTAGAAAATAAAATCTTGTCATTTCAATTTCTGTTATTTTGAAATTCCTTAATAATCTTAAATTTCATCATCCAAATATAGTGTAATTTACTCTAAGCCTTGGGAGTGTGGTCAAACTATACAATCGGCCAGTCATAGTAATTTGGTTTGAACTTTTCATTTACATAAGTTGAATCTAAGAGATTCCATTTGTGAGTGAAAATACCACCATATCCTTGTACTAATTGATATACTTGACGATTTGTTGAGCTTTTAATTTGAGAAGACAAATTTAGATGAATTTAGTTTGGACTTTAGTCAATTAGTTTGAATTACTTGCAGTGTGAAGACATGGAAGCAATGGAGCGGAAGTTGAAGAAGCTGGATATAAAGTACATAAAAAGAGCAGTCGAGGATGACGAAAACGGAACCACAATCGACCAACTCTTCTTCAACGATCCAGACGGATTCATGGTTGAGATGTGCAACTGTGAGAATCTCAAGCTTGTTCCTGCAGGTTCCTTGGGCAGAATAAAGCTTCCAGTTGATAGGCATACTCCCCCTGTTGAACTCAACCAAAACGACAATGGCAAAAGACAACAACAATGATACTAAATAATCAAGTTGTTGAGGCTTCTTTTAAATTATCAACATATGCATGCTGATGTTAAGGGTAGCTTGGTCAGTTGGCAATTTTCATAGAGATCTTTTTTTTTCTTTTGGTAATTATGAGCTCGTTTGGATGTGTTTTTAAAAGTAGTTCTCAACAAACCCTATATTTTTTTTATATGTGTATTTTTATTCATTTGTTTTGACAATTCTCTTTTTGGTTTTTTGTTTTTTTCAGTAGAACACAATAGCTATCTAATGTAATGTATTATACAAATTTCGAAAAATTCAACGGCATAGACTATGAAGGATGATATATTATAAGATATGTTTCTTGTCATCAAATTTCATTCATGAGATGATGCTAAACCTAAAAGTGGTTTCGTCTTCTTATCTTGTAAAAAGAGGTATGGCAATATAATGTAGAGTTAAAAATACACCATTGAATTTGGATTTGATACTTTTTAAGCTGTGAATCTATTTGATCATGGTAATTCTAACTGGTCTTTTTCGAACTCAAAAGAAGTGAATAGTCAAGATGCGTCACCAGTTATCCTCCTTTTTGGAGAAAAAAAACACGATTAAGCAAAATAGTGTATACATACACTATTTAATTTTCGTGTACTCATCAGTTGGTAAAAAGAGTAGCAATGATTTCTAAATTTTCTACTGTCTAAGTATATTCTTTTTCACTTATGAGACGTTTTATGTTCGAGTTTGTGTATATATCCTTGTAAGCTAGGGATATCCAACTACAAATGACTTGAAATTATTGAGGTCATTTCACTCAAACAAAAACAGCATCGATAGTTTTGGGCCGGCTATTATTCATCACCCGCAAAATATAGGCCCAAAACTTTGTCCAAACAGGTTCTACTTATGGCCCAAAATCACCCTTGGTCCCCAAAAAGAGAACAAAATCGGAGAATGCCTAGCATTACACTTGTCATCATCTAAGTGGAAGTGCTTACAAAAAACAGTGTAATTCCTCCAAAATCATCCTCTACATCCACACATTCCCCTCACCTCCTAAATCATTCCCCTACAAAACGCATCAGATCACGCCGTACAACCATCCACAGCGCAAACACCGAAACACCCACAGTGCACCCGACCGCAGAGGATCAAGTATCCCAAACCCGCTACAACAGCTCTCGCACACCATCTCGTAACTCCAACGATTGCCAAATATCAAAGACGGAGAGAGGAGAGAGAGGGAGGCCTCGGAAGCCAAAGTGCACACACAGAGATCACATTCAAAACCAAACCCTAAAAATTCGAGAAATTCGCAGACGGAGATACAAAATTGCCCCAATTCTTCTCTCAGATCCGTTCCCCCAATTCTTCCGATTCCAATAAAGATTGAGTTGGGGTTGGGGTTCGCTCAGTTTTCGAGCCATGGCGTGCGTAAAGGGGGTGAATCGATCGGCCTGCGTGGCGTTTGCTCCGGACGCGCCGTACATGGCGGCAGGGACGATGGCCGGAGCAGTGGATCTGTCCTTCAGCTCCTCCGCCAACATTGAGATCTTCAAGCTTGATTTACAGTCAGAAGATCGTGATCTCCCGGTAGTGGGCGAGTCGACGAGCTCTGAGAGATTCAACAGGTTGTCGTGGGCCAAACCCACTGGATCGGGGTCTCAAGAATTCGGGCTTGGGCTCATTGCTGGTGGACTCGTTGATGGCACTATTGATATCTGGAACCCACAGACTCTGATCCGGTAATTGGATTTGAATTTGCCATTTGCTTTTCGTTTCGATTGGGATTGAATTGAATCGAAATGAATTGAGTTTTGCTTGTAAAGTTCGGATTATCTGTGTGGATTTGGAATGTGGGTTTTCGTTTGGGTGTTGGAACAATGTGGGAAAGTGGAAAGTTTTGCTAATTCTGTAGTTTCTTGGTGCTTGACTTTGATCTGAGTGAGTGGTCTTTTTGGGGTGAAGGGAAATGGGGTTAAAGTTAGCTGATATTGCGGTTATTGTTGTAGTGTGAGTGATTAGATCTTATCTTAAGCTGTGATTATATGCCCAGTTCCCTTTTTATTTTATTTTCATTTTTTGGGAGTGAAATGATATGTTGGAATTTTCTTGGTTGCTGGAAGTCTGAATATGTAGATAATGTGAAATGGGATTTTCATGAATTCTATCGTGAAGATGAAATCTTGGGCGTATTCTCTGACAGAACGCCTTTGAACATTTTCAGTTCATTATGTTATTTTGTGGTTTAGGTTCTTTGGTAATGTGTATGTTTACTTGAAAATTTTGCATTTGGCTTATATTTTCAGTGTATTTGTTAGTAGTGCAATAATCTGAGCCTCCTGCTAATTTTAGTTAGATTTGATCTTTCCCTTACAAAATTATGCGTGGAACTACATGCCTTCTGGTTTTGTGGAATTATTTTTGTATTTCAGAAAGCATTTTTTGGTGTGCTTGGGAAAGGCCTTATTTTTTATTCTTTCATATCCTTAGTCCCGAGGCAGGTGTAAGTGCTTCAGTTGGACATCTCACAAGACATAAAGGCCCTGTAAGTATTCTTCATTTTCAGATGCATGTCTTTTTGGTGATTCTTACAATGCTAGGACATATGATCACTACGTAGGGTCTTTTTTTTTTTCAAACTCTAAACCTTGATTCTTGTTATTTTATTCCAGGTTCGTGGTCTTGAATTTAATGCAATTGCACCCAATTTGCTTGCATCTGGGGCTGATGATGGTGAAATTTGCATATGGGACATGACCAATCCTGCAGAACCATCTCACTTTCCACCTCTCAAGGTTTGTGCTAATTAGTTGTCAGTTTATCTGAAGTATTGCAAACTCTTTCTCTGTAGTTGGTATTATATTCCTTATCCTCAATTTTTGGTGTGGTTCTATTTGGCCACACAGATTTTTAGTTATTCTGGCCTTAGAGCCTTTGATTTGGTTGTCATACTTCACCTTACAGTCTACCTGAAATGCACTTGTAGAGTACAATAGTTAGACATCATTAAAGATGTTTATAGTTTTGTTACCCAAAGGTAGCAAAAGAAATAAGACTACTAGTTTTTACAGTAATCAATTGTAGATGTAGTAATCAATATACAATCAATATACAATCATAATAAACATAAAGAGGTGGACAATTGGAAAGGATGAGAGGTCCCTTTCTTCAAATTATTCTCATCACCTGTGGACGCCAATGTTGATTTTGACCGTATTCCTTATTTTATGAGAGAAAGTCTATAATTAGATCGCTTTCTGTCTCCGTCTTTGCATGAAATGATTTTTCTCTCTTGATTTTGTTATAGTTATGAATATATTAAAAGCAATCTGGACATCATCTGATCCAAAGTGTGATATCTTTATGCAGGGTAGTGGTTCTGCCGCCCAGGGTGAGGTTTCATTTTTATCTTGGAATAGCAAGGTCCAACATATATTAGCATCCACTTCATTAAATGGGACAACTGGTGAGAAATATACTTTTCTCTTTAGGTACTTCTTGTCTAGTAGTTTTATTTAGCGTGAGAATTTAATATTTTGAATTTTTCAGTGATATGGGACCTGAAAAAGCAAAAGCCAGTGATAAGGTGATTTGATTATATTCTACTGTGAATCTATTATATTAAAATCTCAACGATTATTGGGATTGGTCATTTCCATTACCTAACTTGACATTGGTTGACCGGCAGTTTTACAGATTCAGTTAGAAGACGGTGCTCCGTTTTGCAGTGGAATCCTGATATTGCCACTCAGCTAGTTGTTGCTTCAGATGAAGATGGTTCACCGTCTCTGAGGGTAATGGTATTGAAGTAATATTCTATTTGTTTAGTGGTCAAACATTTTAACATTTATGTTCATGCAGCTGTGGGATATGCGTAATATAATGTCACCAGTTAAAGAGTTTGTCGGGCACACAAAAGGTAACAACAACAACAACAACAAAGCCTTTTCCCACTAAGTGGGATCGGCTGTATGAATCCTAGAATGCCTGTTAACGAGTCTTTGTTTCCTTTCTTTTTGTTTGGGAGCAGTTTTTGCTTTGGGTTTCATAAATCTATTTTTACTCTAGTGCTAATTTCCATTATAATGGAGTGGGGTAGCAGAACTATGGGGTAGAGTAAGATACTAGGCATCCCTCTGGGCATCAGTTTCGAATGAGTTCAGGGATTATTCTCTTTCTCATATAGTGTGGGATGTGTTAGCAGCTGTGAAATGATTTTGGTTGAGGTTCTGTTACTTGTAAATAGATCTACTTGAGAGCTCTTAGCTAGTTTTGCTAGATGGTGGATTTCTTATCCACTATTTTGTAATTCGTGTTATTGTTTTAATAAATTGTTATCGTTTCTTCTCCAAAAAAAAAAAAAAAATTACTGGGTATAGGAACAGGTCAGAGAAGAGCTGTTCAAATATCCTTCTCTACAACATGATATGCTATGAGATTTTTGTATAGTCCTTCCCAATGTGGTTTGAAATCAAATTGCATTCAAATATGAAGTGGATAATAAGTCTTATGAACCTGGAAGGATATATGAAATTAAGGGCTTGCCACGTATTGTTCATTTAATTAGAGCCTCAAACTGCTAGTCTACTTGGGTTGTCTTTTACTTTAGTAAACAAGATCCATTCACGGTCACTAATTGTGAAAGTGGGGGTGCGAGAGAGCGCCAAGATTTTCAATGGCCACTCGGATATCATGCTTTATGTGCGTGATTGTACTTGATTAGTGGCTTTTTTAGGTTAAGGCTTTGAGGCTTTCTTAAATAGTACACAAGTTTCCCCATTATGTTTCTATTTCTGCTTTTAGGAATTGTTGTGTCAACTCGTGATCCATGTGTTTGAACTTGCATTCAATTATTTTTGGAACTTGAAAGTGCTATTACTGATATTATTTTGATCAGAAGTTATTTGGATATGCTTACGATTCTGTTACACACACATCTTATCCCAGGTGTAATTGCAATGTCTTGGTGTCCGAATGACAGCTCTTATCTGCTTACATGTGCCAAGGATAATAGAACTATTTGCTGGGACACAGTTTCTGCAGAGGTATGGTTTTTACCTGCTCTTCAAGGAGGCCAATATTTTTGTTCTGCACCTTTCCTACACTTTAAATCT